GGTAACTTGGACCCTGGTCCAGGAGTGTGAGGGGCTGTCCCGGGCGGGTGTGTGAGCCCTCTGTGTGTGGACTGGATGGGCCGGGAATGGGCTGTGTAGTACGTGGTCTCCTGTGTGCATTTAAAATCAAGGTGGTCTTAGTGCAAACTTCAGTTCTAAATCCTTTCTCAGAAAACAAACGGAATCCCAGCTACTCAGGAGAATCATAAATTCGAGGCCAGCCTGAGCAATTTAGCAAGATGTTATCTCAAAAATGGAAAGGGCCGAGGGTCTAGCTCGGTGGGAGACCAGTTTCCTCGCATGTGCAGGGCCCTGGGTTCCATGTGCAAACAAAGAGCCAGAAGCTAAAACTTGAGTGTGTTTGGATTTAAAAGAGTTAGAGGAGATCTTAAAGTCAAAAATCACCAGGCAGTGAGGTGGGCTGTGGTGCCTTCAGTTTACGGAAGGGAAGTAGTGTCTCGAAGGTGGGTGGGTAGGGTGAGGCGGGATGTCTCTGGGACATCTTGCACGGGAACCTGTTCCTCTCCCGGTTATTGGCTCTGGGTAGAAACAGCCGCATCCCCCGTGGCTGTGTCCTTCCTGCCCGGTCACTTCACTGAGTTTCGAAAGGGATCCTCTCACAGTGGAGAGGCTGGCCTTGTAAAGGGTGGCTGCGGCTGGAGTTGTGGCTTGGGGCTCGTCAGATAAGAGAAAACGCGTGCGGTTGGTTGCAGACGCGGCCGCTTTCGTCGCAGTCCCCAAATCGGAAGGATTTACCACAGTCCGGAGGGTGTGCCTCGCTCCCCTTCTAGTTTCCTGGGTTTTCTTTACTTCTCCACCCACATCACTGTGATGAGCCCCAGCATGAGATCCAGGGCTCCCTGAGCCCACATGTGGGTTGGGAGTGTGACCCCCGAGGCCTGGCCTGGCCTGTGTTTGTGCGGTGTTTACTTCGTGATGTCTCCCTGGGTCTCAGCCACCCTCACGGTAAACGCGGCCAGGTATTTGCGCCGCCTGAATGGGCTGGGCTTTCTTTCCTGCTGCCCACACCCTGCGGTGCTTTGTTCTCTGAGTGGGAAGGTGGGGGCCACCTCCCAGCTCAGCCAGACAAGATGCCCCAGAACGCAGAGCTCCTGTGTCACTGTCACTGCTCCCTGGGGCGCCAGTCTGGGAAGGACAGTTGTTTCCCTGCTCTCCGAACAGCTGTGTGTGCGCATTTCCGGCGTTGCGGATAAACAGCTGTGGGCCACTGAGCCCCCAGCCACGCCAGGCTGTGCCCTCCCAAGTTGGCGGAGGGCACCACTTGCCCCTCCTCCTGCTCGGCTGCCTCTGCCTGGGATGAGGAACTTGAGCTGCAGCAGCCGGTGACCTTGCCCAAGGTCGTGAGCCTGGCGTTGGCTCCGTCAGAGGGAGAATCTGAAACCCATGTACTCCCCTGCTGGGGGCAGCCGGGCTCTGTCCCATACCCTGGGCCCTCTGGGTCCCCTGTGTGTGACTCCTGGGGCGTCTTCTGCACGCTGTCATTGGTGCTGGTCTCTGTCACTGATTGTGCCAGGACCCTGATGCACGAGGGAGCAGGCCGGAGACCAGGGAGGCCTGTCTCACCCAGGGCTGCAGGCCCAGGAGAGGTGTTGGCTCCTTCTCTCCAGCGTGAGGGGCTCGGACCTTTCTTTGTGCCCGTGCTGGTTCAGCCTTGGACGTTGAGAAAGTGGCAAGAACCCCGGCTCTTTGCATGCACTCCACCTGGATTCCCTGAGTGGTGGCTTTGGCTGCACCTGCCTCATGCCCCTGCCTTCCCCCTCCCCTGCTCTACCTCTCACGTGCACACACGTGCACACAGGCACGCGCACACACGCACACGCACACACACACGCCTCTGAGCTGTTGGAGAGCACAGCAGACGACGGTGCTGCTTACTCCTTCTTCGCTTTGTTTTCTGCAAGTACAGTTACCAAACCGGAGCACCAAGACTGATACAATAAATATGTGCCGTCCTCAGGTTTCACCGTGAAGGGGCTGGGGATGTAGCTCAGTGGTGCTGCACCTGCCTGGCAAGCACAAGGTCCCGAGTTCGATTCCTGATACCAAGAAAAAAAAGGTTTTGGCATGAAGCCAAGCAGCACTGCTAGAAACGGAATTTGGGTTCTTCCCTGTGGACAGTGCACAGTGATGTCCACTGCGTCCCCTGCAGACCCAGGGGAGCCCTGTCCACCTGTGTGCCCTTGCCGGGTGTGTCCTGGATGTGCTGTGCCGCTCCCACCCTCGGGGCATGGAGGCTCCTGCCCAGGCTGGGGTACAGCTTCCTTTGCCCTGCTGGCGCCTTTGCGGGCCTCCTCGGTGTGGCTCATGGACGCGCTGTGGGGAGCTAGGGAGCCTGGGCCCAGCGGGGGGTGCAGCAGGGTGCGGTCCAGCCCACCTTGTCCCGCTGCAGGCCTCCGCGTGCCCCTTCGTGGTTGTGGACCTGCGCCAGACCACTGCGGCTTGACCTTCCGGGTGGGAGGGGCTGGCAGGTGTGTTTCACAAGCGTGCTGCTGTGCATGTGTGTGCATGAGTGTGCACCCAGCTCTAAGCCCTTGGCGACCGACCAGCCCACGTTTTCGGGTCAGGCCAGCCTGAGTGCTTGCCAGGGCGGCTGCGGGGTGCGAGGCGCCCCTGGGCCAGACCAGGGCAGAGGGCAGCGTGTGCAGGCCCACAGGGGACATGGGGCTAAGCTCAGGCCGGGCGGTGCCCTCGTCCCTGTGCCCAGCCCCACCTGGTCAGACAGCACGGTGCTCACCACTCACCCCAGCCTGCGAGCCCAGGCAGAGGCCTCGGGCACCGCTCTGCGTGTGCTGCTCTGCAGCTGCAGTGGGCAGATGGAGGGAGTCTGGAGGTGCCTAGGCTGTGCAGTGGGTCACCCGGGGGTCCCGTGGAGGGATACGCTGGGGGCCTGGGCCCTGACAAAGAGGTTTTCCCTCTGCGCTTTAGAACACGTGACTGCCGCTGTTCTGGGTCGCGGGAGTGGCTCTGTATCAGATTCAGGGCTGGGTGCTTTGTGTTTGTTCGTGACCTGGCCCTTGATGGCCTTGATTCCTGGAGCCCGTGACCAGAGCCTGCCTGGCTCAGGCATGACTGAGCAGAGGGGCTTGAGGCGGGCCGGGGTGTGCTGGGGCCTGCACAGGTCCTGGGGTCCAGATGCCAGTGTCTTCAGTGTGTGCTGTGCTCTGAACCGACAAGAATTTCCCAGAATGCCCCCACGATCCACCCGGATTTGGGGAATTTGAGACTGGAGGCTGCTGTCAAAGCAGAACCTGTGGTGGTGTGAGCTGCCAGCCTGAGCCACTGGTGAGTCACCCCATGGCAGGCCTATTGGGAGGAGATCCCGGGTTTAGGGTCTTCATGCCTGGGGGTCAGGAAAGCACCAAGTTTGGGACCCGAGAGGGACGCAGGGTGACTCGAGTGCTGTCAACCCATGTGGGTTGGGGGGCACCTGGCCTCCTCTCCTCCCTGAGCCCCCATCCCCGGAGTCCCAAGCCTTGACTTGTAGCAGGTGCCACCCCGTGGCCTGTGCTTGCGCCTGTGTGACCAGCCAGGTGCCACTGTCCCTCAGCACAGGGACACGGGGCTTGGTGCAGGGCACAATGACCCCAGAGCCGGCCCTGAGGTGTGGCCCACCTCCTACCCTCCCTGGAACCGCATCCCTGAGGTCACTGCAGGGGCCCTGCCTGTGACGGATGGGGCGGGGGCCGAGCTGGGCCTGATGGGTTTGCTTCGGGTCCGGCTCCGCATCCCTTTCCCCAGGTCCCTGTCTGTTCCTGGTCTCTCCTGTCCCCTCTTCCCACTCCCAGGGCCACATGCAAGGAGGTGCCCAGGCCGTCATGAGGGAGGGCCCCACGGTGACGGTGGTGGACATTGAGGGGCTGGAGCTGGGCCACTGCCCTTTCTCCAGTGCCGCCTGTGCCTCCTGTGCCTGCCATCACCCTGGGAGCTCCCGCGCCGCCTTACACACATCCCTCGAACACATCCAGTGCCTCCCCCAGGCCCTGGCCGAGGGCCCAAAGTCAGGGTTCTAGGGCCGGGCTCCTGGGGACCCTGCCCTCATGGCTCCCACCGTGTGCAGCCTGGCCAGGGCAGGGCTCATGAAGTGGCCACGGGGTTGCCCGGCGGCCAGCTGTGCTCTGTGCTGAGTCCTTGTGGAGGTCCTGCCTCTGTGTGTGTGTGTGTGTGTGTGTGTGAGTCCTCTCGTGGGAACCCAAGGTGGGGAAGGCCAGACCAGGAAGCTGTCCCTTTGTCCTGTGTCCGGGGTTGTAGAGCCCCCTGGGGGCCGAGAAGGACACAGGGGCCTGGGTCCCCACTCTGCTGAGCAGGTGCTCCGGTTGGTCCTGGTGTGGAGGCTGTGTGGCCCAGTGGTTAGGGTGCTGCCATGCTGGGGTGCAGTGTGGGGTCCAGCACAAGTCCCAAGGGTCACTGTGGGCTATGCAGGCATCTGTGGGGGCTGGACAGGGGAGGTGACCCCTGCCTGTGGGCTCAGAGGCCAGAAGGACAGAGGATGGCCCTGTGGCTGTGTCCCTCTGCCTGAAGACACAAGAGCTCATTTCTGTGGCCATGCCTGGTGCTCGGACCTCCTGGCCAGAGGTGCCAACCCCGCCCTCTGCTGGGCCTGCGCCTGTCCTGCATCCCTGCCCGGAGACAGAGGACGTGGGGCCGGAGCTGGCCCTGCCCTGGGGGTGTGGATGACCTTGTGTGAAAAGCAGCAAACCTTTCAACTTCCCTAAAAATCTGGAGTGAGCAGGGGCTAGGAAGTCAGCTCTGGCCCTTCTGGTGAGAATTTCGCCCGGTGTCGGGCCTGGGGGTGCTTTCCAGCTGAGGGTGTTCCGTCCTACGGTGCCGGTGACGCTGAGTGCCGCCCAAGGCTGGCTGCGCATGGCGGGTGTGTGAGGGGCCTGTGGCGGCACCAGCCGGAGGGGGAGAGGGTGCCCTGCTCCGAGCCCCTCTCCGCTGTGGCCTGCCCTTCCCTCTGACACTGCCCGCTCGGCCCACAGGCGATGGGACGCCCCGGGAGAGCAGCCCGTTCATCAGCACTGTTGACGTGGAGCGGGAGAGCTACTACGAAGGGAGGAACATGGCGCTCTTTGAGGTGACGTGGTCCTGCTTTGTACGGAAGGTGCCCAGGCTGTCTCGGGGAGGTGGCACAGCCGTGCCCTGAGGTCCCCGGTGTGACCGACAGAGGCGGACACCTGGGACCCCCTCCTCGCCCGGGCCTCCTGGCTTGGGCCTCACTGTCCCGTGACCGCGCCTGTCCCCAACAGGAGGAGATGGACAGCAACCCCATGGTGTCCTCCCTGCTGAACAAGCTGGCCACCTACACCAACCTGAGCCAGGGTGTGGTGGAGCACGAGGAGGATGAGGACAGCAGGCGGCGGGAGGCCAAGGTACTGCGGGCCTCGCTCCTGCGGCTCAGCGTGGTGGCCCCTGGTCCTCAGCAGCGGCCTGGAGAGGGTGCTGCTGCTTGCTGGCTGTGTCGTTTCTGGCTTCCTTCAGTGTGGGGAATTTCGCCCAGAGCCTTTGCACCCAGCCACATCCCAGCCTCTATTTTTTCTTTTTTGGTACTGGGACTCGAACTCGGGACCTTGCACTTGCGAGGCAGGTGGCGGCACCACTGAGCTACATCCCCGGCCCAGCCTCTAATTTTTTATCTTGAGACAGGGTCTCGTTGAGTCGCTGAGTTGCCTGGGCTGGATTTGAACTTGTGATCCGCCTGCCTCAGCCTCCCAGAGTGCTGGGATTGCAGGACTGTAGCCAGCTGCCCTGGTGCTTTTTGAAAACATGACCAAAGGCCCCACTTTCTCTGCAAGGAGCGGTCTGAGATGGGGGAGAGTGTGGGGAGGGGGTCGAGGTGCCCTCCGCACACACCCCCTCCCCGGGCCTCCCGGCCTGAGGGGTTTCCCTGTCTCCCATGCTGCACACGTGGTGGGACGCGCTGGGGCTCCTGAGACGTGCACCCTATTTGTGGATGAGGCTGCTGGTTGGGGTCTCAGGAGCCTTGCAGGGCACAGACACGGGCGACAGGGTGGGCAGGAAGGGCTCTTTGGCCTAGCTGGCTCTGCCTGCCTTGCTGGCAGAGAGACAGGGCCTCCCGGGAGCTGTGTCTGCCGCAGGGGCTCCCCCGCCAACCCCCGGGGGGCTCTGGGGTTGCGGGGATGGGTTTGCCACTCCGGTACATTTCTGGATTCTCCTGGCCCGGGGCTGCCGTGCGGCTTGGAGGCCTTTGTCGCCACCGCCGTGCCTCTGTTCTCTGCTGGAGCTGATGGGGGAGACCCAGCCTGCGCCAGGGAACAGGCGCTTTCCAGGGTCCTGGTGGGAACAGTCCCAGGAACCAGCCCAGCCTCACCCCGACTGCCTGGGGCCCATGTGCACCCAGTCGGGATTTGTGTGCAGGGCACCCAGGACTGGCGCTGGACGGTGCCCACCCAGGCCTCAGCCCTGGCTGGCCCCTGTGCTCCTTGGGGACCTGGTGTCCCAGGTGGGATTTCAGTCCACGGGGAGAGCTGCGTGTCACGGATGGGCGGAGCTCAGTGGAGGGCATGGCCTTGTCCCGTCTTCCTTCGGGCTGGCTCTGCCCAGGGTGGGAAGGTCAGGGGCTGCCACATTGTCCCCTCCTTGGCCAGGATGCACCTACAGGCCAGAGGGAGGCTGAGCCCGGTGACCTGGCAGCCACGCGTGCAGCTGGAGCCCTGCAGCCTGGGCTCTGCCTGGAGGATGGCTTGTGCCTCCCCTCCGGGGACCATTTCTTAGGTTTGAGGACACACGTTTCACTCTCTCCAATGGAGACTCCGAGGTCTTCGCCCACTCATGGTCTGCAGGGTGCAGAGCCTGACCTCTGTCCAGACCGAGGGTTGGGAGGTGTGGGAGGTCGCCATGCTGGTCCCCTCCGGGACATCATTGCTGGTGGTTGTCCTGGTGCAATGGGTGAGGGGCCCCTGTGCATGCTCCCCGGGGAGCCTTCTTGTCCTGTGTGGCGGCCAGCGCATTCTCTGAGAGGCTACCTCAGCCTGGTCGCAGGAGTTGGTATCCGCCCCTGGGCCCTCTTGACACTGGGCGATGCGATGTTCCAGCCCCACACAGTGCCCACGCTGAGAGGAGGGTGGGCCGAAACAAGGCTCGAATTTAGGCAAGTAGAGGGCCTGGGGAAGCCCTGCGGGGCCTGTTCCTGGGGGTGAGGACCTGCAGCCTAGGTCAGGGCTGAGGGCCAAGTGACCCTGTGCAGGGAGCCGGGCCTCCAACACAGCGCTGTCTTCCAGGCCCCGCGCATGGGCACCTTCATTGGCGTCTACCTGCCCTGCCTTCAGAACATCCTGGGCGTGATCCTCTTCCTGCGCCTGACCTGGATCGTGGGGATGGCGGGCGTGCTGGAGTGCCTGCTTATCGTGTCCGTGTGCTGTACCTGCGTGAGTGGCCGCGGCCACCCTCTCCCCGAGGGCCCAGCCCCACCTGTGGGGGCACTGAGGGTCTGCCGCTCTGAGCCCTAAGGTGACCGACCCTGCACTTCCGTCCCAAGGTGCCAGCACGCCTTGGGGACGGGCTGCCCGCTGACCTGCCGAGGACTGGTCCACTGACCATGTGGTGCCTTCTTTCGCGCCCCACAGGGCATACCGAGCTGTCTCCAGGCCCCACTCAGTCAGCCCTGTGCTTTGACTGGGCCGCTTTCCAGCTTGGCAGGACAGCCTGGGTCTCTGTGCCCGTGCCACCCCGTGACCTATGTCTGCGCTCCACCTCTGTGCCCCCAAGCCCTGTTACCCACCCAGCTGTCTGTGCCTTGACTCCCGTGAGAAGAGCATAATACAGCTCTCTCATCTCCCAGCTGTCACCTGAAGACAACCACCGGGGTCCCCTGTGACTGGTCCAGGCATAGTACTGTCCCTGTCTGTTTGCTCACAGGCGGCCATGGGCACTTCCTGGTGCCATGGCCAGGCTTCCCTGAGAGGCCAGTGACTGGAGGCTGGGCCTCAGAGCCTCCTGAACACACTCTGTACCCCTGGGGGGGTGAGAAGAGACGGGCCACTGTGCAGGACAGCATCTCCCTGGGGCCCCTAGGCTGAGGGCAGCTGGGCAGAGCCAGCCTCTACCCAGGGCCGCTGTCCCGAATTGGGGCGTCCTGTGAGTGCTCCCAGGGTGCCCTACACATCTCACCCAGGTCCTCCAAGTTTGGCACCAGGCAGGTGGCCCAGCCCAGGGCACCTGGCCTCAGCGGCTACGTGTCATTGCAGACGCTGCTGACTGCCATCTCCATGAGCGCCATCGCCACGAACGGCGTGGTCCCAGGTGAGGCCTTGCTGCCCTTTCCCTGTGTTGTACCCCAGCCTTGAGTGTGTGGAGACCTCCCTGCTGCACTGTCATGGGATGGTGGCACTGGGGTGCAGACGCGCCCTGCCTGCCCGTTCAGTGTTGGGTGGAGGATGGGGTCCCAAGTAGGGCCTGGTTCCTTCTCAAGCTTGCATTGCATGCAGCACGTCTGAGCTCTGCTCCTCTGTCCCTGACTTGGGGCCAGGCGGCCCCTGCCCAGGTCTGGGCCTTTTCCATGGCCTTTCAGGCACAATGGGGCTTTGAAAAGCCACACAGGGCAGTGTCACCGCCTGTGTCTCACTATGCCAGCTGCTAGGTTGCTTGCCGCAAGCCTGGGGTTCCCGGAGGCCCAGGGCTTTGTGGTGGCCTCAGGGTGGTCTTGTCCATCCCTGCCTTTGTCCTCTGCATCCTGGGGCTGGTGTTCTTCCTGACCAGGGGCACCTCGTTTTGGTAATTTCTCAATTACCCAGGAACTGTGGGGGTTTTCTTAAGTCCAGTCTTTGAAGACTGGGCTCAGACACCACGGTGTGCAGTTGTTGCTGGGGACCTTGGCCACCTTGCTGAGGGCTGGGCTGGGCTGGGCTGGGCAGCCCGTGTCCAGGGGCTTGGGTTCCCTTTGCCACCGCTTCCCCGTGGCAGCTGAGCCCGTGGCCTCAGCTGTGGCGGCAGCACCTGGCAGAGCTCAAGGGAAGGGAGTGCAGGGGCCTCTGCGGGTTCTGTGAGCATGCTCCTCACCGGAGAGGCGAGGCTGAACATGCTGTTTAAGTCAGGGAACAGTAGAGCAGGCGCCTTAGCTTGCAGCCTAGACTGGAGAAACTGAGTCCACTACCCTGCTTCTGCGCGCTGTATGTATAAATGGGGCCAAGCCTGAGTGGTGCCTGAAGGACACCCGTCCCTGGGAAGGGGGCCGGGGCTCAGGGTCGTGAGAGCCCTGGGAATCTCCCATGGTGCTTCGTGGGTCCCCCCAGCTCTTCGGCTGCATAAACACGCATCCCTTCTGACTGACTTCTCCCCGGCTGTGTCCCTTGCAGCTGGGGGCTCCTACTACATGATATCTCGGTCACTGGGGCCTGAGTTTGGGGGCGCTGTCGGCCTCTGCTTCTACCTGGGCACCACATTTGCGGGGGCCATGTACATCCTGGGGACCATCGAGATCTTCCTGGTGAGCGCCGTCCGACGGCTCCCCGCACCCAGCACTCTGCCCACAGGCTGCTCCTGGGGGCCCCACCGTCCCCACCCTGCCCTGGCTCCGGCTGCATGCCGCTTTCGAGGCCTGTGGCTTGCGTCCCCACCGGCCTGTCTGCCGCCTGGGAGGGCCAACAGCAGGGTGACTGTCAGAGACAGAGAGGGACCAGCCTTCCTGCTGTGTCCCAAAAGGCCTGCCGCCCCGCTCTGCACACAGCTGGGTGGGCAGCAGCGTGGCCGTGGGGCCGGAGCGGTTGGGGGGCCCCTCGGGAGGTCTTCATGCCCCCTGCTTCTCGGGCATCAGTGGTCAGGAGGGCCAGGATGCAGGATCCCCGAGTATGGGCGGTCTGGGCTGCCGGCCGGCCCTCCTGACCTGCCATGGGCCCGCAGACCTACATCTCCCCGGGAGCCGCCATCTTCCAGGCAGAGGCTGCAGGCGGCGAGGCCGCGGCCATGCTGCACAACATGCGGCTCTATGGCACCTGCACGCTGGCCCTCATGGCCGTGGTGGTCTTCGTGGGTGTCAAGTACGTCAACAAGCTGGCCCTGGTCTTTCTGGCCTGCGTGGTGCTGTCCATCCTCGCCATCTATGCTGGTGTCATCAAGACCGCCTTCGACCCGCCTGACATCCCGTGAGTCCGCCCGAAGGCCTGGCCTGCCCCTGCCCCTGCTCCGTCCCCGCCCCCCGGGGGTCCTGGATGGTCACATCTCCCTGGCTGCCCTGGCGTGTGTGGGGGCCATGGGCGGGCGGGGCCGTGGTGCCACGTGGGCGGGCCGGGCTGCTCTGAGCACGGAGGCCACGTGGGGCCCACTTTCTCCGAGTGGCCAGGCGTCTCCAGCGTGGCCGCCCTCCCCGTGCCAGGCCCCTGCGTCCTCACCGAGCCCCGGTGGGCTCTTTCTCCTCTCCTGTGAGGCTGAGGAGGGAGGTGGCCGGGTCCCAGCGGGTGCCCTGAGGAGGTGGGGCCCGGCCCTCGGGCTGGGAGTGGCTGGGCTGGGCCGGCTCCTGGCCTCTGGGCGGCTGGGTGGAGGGACCCCTGCTGCAGAGGGCGCCTGCGCCCTGGATGAAGAGCGGGTGAGGGGTGGGGCAGCCCAGAAGGACGAGCTGCTGTCTGCTGTCGGCCGGCCTGGCCCCGGGTCAGCCCGCGGGTGCTCCTGCTGTCGCTCTCATCAGACACTTGGTACCTGAGGCCGTGGAGAAACAGTCTGGGCTGCCCGCTGCAGGGTCTGCCTCCTGGGGAACCGCACGCTGGCAAAGCGTGGCTTCGACACTTGCGCTAAGGCTCAAGCCGCGCTCTGGGGCCTCTTCTGCAACGGCTCCAGCCCCAGCGCCACTTGCGACCAGTATTTCACGCAGAACAATGTCACCGAGCTCCAGGGCATCCCCGGCGTGGCCAGTGGCGTCCTCCTGGGTGAGCCTGGGGGCAAAGTCCCGTCCCGTCCTCCCCCCGCCCCTCCGCCTGGCAGCTGCCCAGGTGTCCCCTGCGCCCGCAGCCGGGGCAGAGAAATCCACCGCCGTGTGTCGGGCCCTCAAGTTGGTGTCAAAGCCAGTCACTGTACAGAATCTTGGTGGCACGCCCTGGATCTCCGTGAGGAGCGTGACGTGGCTGTCTGTGTTACTCCTGAGCTGGAAGACGGCCTGGCCCGGGGAAGAGGAGGAATTGGGGGTGTAAAGTAGCACTGGTCCCTGGCTGCCTACCCCAAGGCATCTTGGGACGGGCTGAGGTTGTGTAGGTGCCCCGAGGGCGAGTGTGAGCTTGCTAGGGGCCTGTGCAGGGTGGGTGGCAGGGAGGGCCATCCTGGGCCTCCCTTGAGGCCCTTTGAGGCCCCGTCTGTGAGCCCAGCCCAGCAGGAGCCCCCACAAGGTCCTGGGTAGGGGTCTGGACACGGGCGCAGGGTGGACGCAGAGCAGGAAGGCCGTGTGGTAGCCTGAGAGGAGGCCAGGTCGTCCACAGGCAGCACAGGGCTGCACTGGCCCGGCTCGGTGGCCTGCATGTGGGGTTGGTGCTGGGGCTTGTGCCCAGTGCTCCGATGCCCAGGGCCATTTTGAGACTGCATGGTGCCAGTGGCTCCTGTGGCCCGCCTTGCACACGGGTTTGGTTTTGGTGAGGGCTGCTTGCGGGTCAGGTGGGCACCGCAGAAGAAGACAAGCCCTGAGCATCCCTTGCAGGCTCGAGCCCCTGGAGCCTGACAGAGGGTTCCAGAGCCCACAGTGAGCCTGCCTGCCGGCTGTTTCTGCAGAGAACCTGTGGAGCACATACTCGGACAAGGGTGCCTTCCTGGAGAAGGAGGGTGTGCCCTCGGTGCCGGTGCCTGAGGAGAGCCGCGCCGCCGGGCTGCCCTATGTGCTGACGGACATCGTGACCTACTTCACCATGCTGGTTGGCATCTACTTCCCCTCGGTCACCGGTGAGTCTGTCCTCATCCGTGTCTCGCCGTCCCTTCCTTCTCTGTCCTTATCTCTCCCTGTCTCTGTCCTTCTCTGTCTCCACCTCTATTTCTTTCTTATCTCTCTGTCTTGTCTCTCTTTTTTTTTGGTACTGGGGATCGAACGCAGGACCTTGCGCTTGTGAGGCAGGCGGCAGCACCACGGAGCTGCACCCCCGGCCCTTGTCCCTCTTTGTTTCTGTGTTTCCAGCTGCCTCTATTTTTGTCTCCGTTTCCACATTTCTGTTCTTCCCTTGTCTCTCTCTCTCTGTCTTGCTGATGTTTCTGTCTCTCCATCCTTGTCGCTCTCCCGGTCTCTGTCTCTTTCATAGTGAATCCCCTGGGAATTGCCTGGACAGCACGGGGCAGGGGGTGGAGACCCTGGCATGGCCTTGCGTGCTCCTGAGGCCCTGGTCCCTGGCTGTCCCCTGCCGTGTTCCACGCGGGTCGGTGACAGACAGGACCTGCCCGCTGCTGTGCCTTCGGCCCGAGTGCCATCCATTGTATGATGTCCACGCAGTGGCTCTTCCTGTGAGCCACAGGCGGGGCTCAGCCGTCCGCAGACACAGACCTGTGGCTCCCTGTGGGCTGGATCAGGTCATGAGCATCAGCACGTGGCTCCATCCAGGGAATTCTGGCCGCGGCCCTGACGTTCACTGAGACCTCAGGGCTCTGGCGCGGTGGGAGAGTGGCCACAATGGTGATGGTGGCTGGCTGGGCAGGGTCACCGGGACTCCAGCCTCACTGTGACGGGACAGCTGGCTGGGTGCTTAGCCCGGCCTGTGCCCCTGCCCCGTCCCTGTCCTGTGGTGTGGATAGTGGGCTCTGGGCCACGCTGTTGCATGGCAGTGGCCTGAAGACACAGGGTCCCTGGCGGCCACTGTCCTGTGTCTGGCAGCATCCTTTCTTCCACCTCAGTGGGTCTGGGGCAGCTGTGTGCGTGTGCCAGGCCTGCCTGCCCCACGTCGGCTTGACTGTGTCTCCCACAGGTATCATGGCAGGGTCCAACCGCTCTGGGGACCTCAAGGACGCACAGAAGTCCATCCCCACGGGGACCATCCTGGCCATCATGACCACGTCTCTCATTTATATCCTCGGTGGCTCACAGGTGGAGGTGCTGGCTTCTGGCCTCCTGCCCTCAGCTCCCACGCGGAGCCGTCTCGGGGGCTCTCAGCTGAGCACATCCTGGCCTGGTCCTGGCCTCAGCCCTGTCCTCTGTGGAGCTGGGCTTCCCAGGACATGTGCGCCACACTCTTGTGACACCCAGGCCCTGCCTTCCTCATGCTTGGTCATGTGATGTTCTCCATGCAGCCCAAGGGATGGCCAGGCTGTCATGTGGACAAGTGGCTGCCAGTGGGACACACTACGGGCAGTTCAGGAATGGGAAGCTGGGTTGCAGGTCTGATGTCTGTGAGCCCCTGCCTTTCTGGCCGAGCTGTGTATCCCCAGCATCTCCTGTGGCAGCCGCATTAGGCTGGGCCCACCCAGAACCTTGTGCCGGGCAGCTGGATGCAGCTGCGAGGAGGGGCCCTGGGGACCTGGGGCTGGGACAACAGGGTCAGGGCGTGGGGGTGCACTGGGGCGGCACTGCCCAGAATGGGTGGGCACGCTGCACCGTCTCCCACCGAGGACTGGCTGCTCCTTGACTCGAGCTGCAGATCTCTCCTGCATCGTGCTCTTTGGGGCCTGCATCGAAGGTGTCGTCTTACGAGATAAGTACGTTGGCCCTCTGTCTGGTCAGGGTGTTCACATCTCTCCGAGGCCCGAGGCCCAAAACCACCCAGCCCGTGCCTGACTGCTGGGCCTGGGTGTGGATGGGGAGTAGCCTTGGACCCCAGCCGCCATTCAGCAGGGTGTGGAGCCTGGTGGGGTGCACATCTGTCAGGGCTGGTCACAGCAGCCCTGGTGGGAAGGCTGCAAGGTCCCCGAGGCCGTAGCAGGGCCAGGTGTGCAGGTGGCTGCAGTGACTGGGGGAGCGGGGGCTGCCTGCTCCCGAGAGCCTCCCTGGTGAGAACAGAGCCCTGCTGGGTGGACCTGTGGTCTCTGGCCAGGTCTCTGACCCCGCCCCAGAATGCCCTCCCACAAGGACAGGCATTTCCGCCCGTGCTCGGCTCCCTGCCTGGAGGCTGTGCTGACTGCCTGCCCTGTCCGCCCACAGGTTTGGGGAGGCGCTGCAGGGGAACCTGGTCATCGGCATGCTGGCCTGGCCGTCCCCCTGGGTCATTGTCATCGGCTCCTTCTTCTCTACCTGTGGCGCTGGCCTGCAGAGCCTGACCGGGGCACCTCGCCTGCTGCAGGCCATTGCCCGTGACGGCATCGTCCCCTTCCTGCAGGTGAGCCCTCACCTGGGCTCCACAGTGCACGCCGCTGCCCTTCTGGGGGCCTGGGAAGTTGGGGTCGGTGGGGGGCAGTGAGGACCTCTTTTGGGTATGAGTTTTAGGGTGACAGTGGACGCGTGTCCCTCTGGGTGCTGTGGAAGTTATTTCCCCCGGCTGCTGGGCCGGTGGCCCAGGCTCAGCCCCAAGAACACCAGAGCACTGTGGCCCCCTGCACGCGGGTCACGTCTGTTCATGTGGCCCCTGGAGCCTGTGCCCTGGATGATCCCCCTGAAGACAGGGACAGACGGGCTGTCCTGGGACGAGGCTGCCTGGGATGAACTGAGGATCCGGAGGCCATGGCCCGGGACGCCGGCGACTCCGTTACCCGTTAGGGAGCTCAGCACTGCTCGTCTTCCCCACCCCCACCTGTCCCCGTGCCCACAGGTGTTTGGCCACGGGAAATCCAACGGGGAGCCCACCTGGGCCCTGCTGCTCACGACCCTCATCTGCGAGACTGGCATCCTCATCGCTTCGCTGGACAGCGTGGCCCCCATCCTGTCTATGTGAGTGGCTGTGGCTGGCGTGTGCGGGGCGGGGCGTCCTTGTGTGTGCTGGGCGCGCTCGGCCTAGGGCACAGGGATGCAGGTGGGTGAGGCAGGCCGGGTGGGCACAAGTGTGGATGCGTGGCTGGCGGGCAGCACTGGGTGTGGCCAGGGCTGTAGGGCGTGGCCCAGTCCAGGTGGACTGAGGTCTCTGGGAGGCGGGCAGCACAGAGGCCGGGCTTCTGTGGCTCAGTGGTCTGCGACCCCGCGTGCCACCCAGGTTCTTCCTCATGTGCTACCTGTTTGTGAACCTGGCCTGCGCCGTGCAGACGCTGCTTCGCACACCCAACTGGCGCCCACGCTTCAAGTACTACCACTGGTAAGGCTGTGGACGGGGCGGGCCCAGCCTTGCCCCCAGGGACGGGCTGTGGTCCTCCCTGGGATCTCTACGCCCCATGCAGTGTTGGGATCCCCACTTTGAGGCCAGCCTGGCCCTTGGGCTGCCTGAGGGCTCCCCGGGCGTCGGGCCGAGGGCACAGAGGGAGGCCACCTTGTGTCCCCTGTGCAGCCAGCTACCTCAGGAGGGTGTGGTGATGGTGTCATGTTGGATCCGGGGGGGCTGTGGTCGGCTGATCCTGGGGACTGTTCCCAGCGTTGGGACAGCGGCATGCAAGGCAGCGGCCCAGCCCCGACTAGGCGGGCAGCTGGCACCTGAGCCACATGTCCCGCAGGACACTGTCCTTCCTGGGCATGAGCCTGTGCCTGGCCCTGATGTTCATCTGTTCCTGGTACTATGCCCTCTTCGCCATGCTCATCGCTGGCTGCATTTACAAGTACATCGAATACCGTGGGTGAGTGGTGCCCATGGGGCCTGGGGACCGGGCTTTGTTGCGCTCCCTGGGGAGCACCCTGGCGTGGGGCATGGGGAGGTCCCCGCGGGGAGGCAGGGGCCCAGGGAGCTCCAGCGGAAGCTGCTCCAGCCAGAGACCGTTTCCACCTGGAGTCCACTGTTGCTGGAGACCATGGCGGGCGGGGCGGCCAGGCATCCGTCCCACCCGTGCTATGGCCTGCCGTGTGTCCTCATCTGCGTCCACACTCGTACTTGTGCCCCGAGTGGCTGGCACCTTGCCCATAGCTCCCCGTGGGACCCTCCCAGCCACAGCACTGCCCAGTCTCCGTGCCCCAAGTCTGGGTCATGCAGCACCATCCCCCGACAAGGGGCCTCACAGTGCCCCGGGCAATGTGTATGACCCACTTCCTGCTCACCTAAAGCTCATGTCTGCAAAATGCGACAGCCAGCGACCATGTACCATGTAACTGTGTCTCAGAGCTATGACCCCAACAGCTGCCCTGACCCCTACGGGCTCCCTGGCCCTGGCCCAGGCCCCTGGCCCCGTGCCCAGCCTGGCACAGCGTGGGCCAGCCATTCTCTGCACTGAGGCAGTGGAGGGGCTGCCTGTGCCCCTCTCATTGGCCTGCTGCAGACCTGACTTGGGCGGGGCCCTTCTCCTCCCGTGTTGTGGGCTCCCTGCCCTCCGGGCTTTTCCCCAGGACCTGGCCAGGCAGGGGGTGGGGACATGGCTGTCCCTGCTGGAGGGCCATGCTGCCTGTGCCTCCTCATGCCTCCCAAGACCCACTCCATGTGCCCTCAGGAAGCCACATGTGAGAGCTCCCTCTGTCCCTGCAGGGCCGAGAAGGAGTGGGGTGACGGCATCAGGGGTCTGTCACTGAACGCCGCCCGCTATGCCCTGCTGCGCGTGGAGCATGGGCCGCCCCACACCAAGAACTGGAGGTGAGCCATCGTCACAGGTGCCAGGGGACAGTGTGGCTGTGGGCAGAAGTTGGGGACAGCAAGTGTTCCTGCTGCCAGGTGCTGGGGAACATGAGTGTCCTCCACACGGAGGCCCTGGCCTGTGGCTCACCAGCACGCAGCCACTCTGCCTGCCGGGACATGTGCCTCGGTCTCCCAGGGAGCCAGGGGTGAGGGTCGGGGGCTTGTCTTTCTGTCCTCCTGTCCCCGCCCTGCTGCTGTGCTGTCCCTGATCTCTCCCGTTCTGCTTGCCCTGCCCACAGGCCCCAGGTGCTGGTGATGCTGAACCTGGATGCAGAGCAGGCCGTGAAGCACCCACGCCTGCTGTCCTTCACCTCGCAGCTGAAGGCCGGCAAGGGCTTGACCATCGTGGGCTCCGTGCTGGAGGGCACCTTCCTGGACAAGCACGCGGAGGCGCAGCGAGCCGAGGAGGTGGGCGAGGAGGGGCCGTGTGTGGGTGCAGAGCCCGAGGAAGCCCAGGCATGCATGGCCAGGCTGGAGGGGCCGACTGCGGCGTGTGCTGTGTCTGGCTTGTGTCTCTGTGCGACACTGACACTGGCCAGTACCTGCTGGACACAGCAGGCGTCTTTGTGACCCCAGGGCTCCAAGGTCGGTTTCTTCATTTCGGCTGCTTGTGATGGGAATTGCAAAGCCAGGCAGCATCAGGGCGTGTGGGCCACGCTGTCCCACGGCTGCCCCAGGCCGTGCTGTCCTCACAGGCTGGGTGACGTCACCTCCGGGACGTCCTCGTCCATCTGCCGCTGGTCAGGCCTGCACGCAGCCAGCCTCACACGGGCTCCTTCGGGCCGGGCTGGGTCCTGGCCACTTGCCGCCTCCTCCCCAGCAGGTGTGCTTGGCAGCCTGGTGTCCTGGTGTGTGTCCCTCTGTCACCCCACGTCTGTAGACCCAGGGAGGCCACTCGGAGGGAGAGTGGCAGTGGTGGCGCTGGTGGTGTCTTCTGGGCCTCCGAGGGCCAGTGTGTCTGGGCGAGCAGGAGAGGCCGGGCCTCTTCCCTTCCTGAGAGCAGCAGCTTCGGCGTCCCTGCACTGGGTCTCAGTGGCCGCTGCTGGCTGTGTGCTGTTGCTCCTCCTGCACCCACGGTGCCTTTTCACGGTGGCACCTGGGCTCTGGGCCTGGCCCACACCGGGTCTGTTGGGAAGCACGGCACAGGCGTGGCCTGGCTCCATCCCACTGTGCTTGTCTTGAGCGTCCAGGTGGCCTCAGTGCCTCTGCCCACATGTGGTTTGCATGTCCGCCCCTGCACGGTCATCTGGGGGAGCCTGGAGCTCGGGCCGCCCTGGTGTGTATCTCTGCTCCTCGGGCCTAGACGGCCCCAGTGTCCGGGTGCTGGCGCTGCACGTGAGGAAGCTGGTGCTGTGGGGAGTGTGCTGGCACCGGGGCCCCTGGGCCGTGGGTCTCCTGTGTCCCATCAGATCTGACTCAGGCCACGCAGTGCATGCCAGGTATGTTCCCTGCTGAGCCCTGTGACCTGCAGCATCCTCCACCCTGGTGCTTTAGGGTCTGGGTGTGGATCCGCTCAACACAGCGCAGGCCTCTTGCGAGGCCCCACTTCCTCCTGCCCAGGGGCCGCCTCCCTAGAGCACACGCTGGGACCCAAGACCGCAGATGTCATGCCTCCCCATGCAGGCATCAGGCCAGGCTCCTGCCAGGCAGAGCTCAGCCTCTGTGGCTGGTGTCCCCGCTAAGGCCTAGGGATGGTGAGGCCAGCCCAGGCTCCTTGACACCATAGCAAGGGAGAGCCATGCTTCGTTGTGGCTGGGAATCCGTGCGGGGCACTGTGGGGCCGGCTGGTGGATTCAAGGCCCTGAGGCTGCGCCGACGTGCTCCAAGCCTCTGTTGCCATCTTCTGTGATCTGGCCTCCAGCCAAGCAGGAGGTGAGAAAGCAGATCCTCGAGCAGCTGGGTGGGGAGGCCCTGCTCCTCCTGCAGAAGCTCCATGTGCCCATCCCTCTCCTCCCGGCCCGGGGCAGCTGTGTCCCCAGGGCTCCTCCTCCTGCCAGCCTGGGCCCTCGTTAGCCAGACGGTGACCCCATTCAGGCCTTGCCTGAGCTAGGCAAAATAACCGTGGAACACAGCCTCGGGTCCCGCACCCCTCCCCCACGTGGTTGGTGGCAGCTTCCAGGGCTGAGGCCCAAGGCAGGGAGACGGTAGGTTGTGCTTGGAGCGCAGGCTGAGCTCTGACTTGGAGTGCACAGGAGCTGCTGAGACAGGAGGGTGGCAGCAGTGGCAGCCCTGTCACTGCTGGAGTGACAGGTGTTGAGGTCCTGATGTGCAGAATCCAGGGGTCAGGTTGTGGGCAGGCTCTGGGGACCCAGGTGTCCCCTCCTCTGCTTGGATGTCTGCCTGTTTCCAGCAAGGACTCTTGTCCCTGAGCAGGGCCACCTGCGAATCAGGATGGTCTCTGAGAGCTCCGTCGCATCTGTAGGACCCTTCTTTCAAGGCTGTGTCCTTCACATGTCACAGGCCACATCCGTCCAGCTTCCCCTTGAAATCTGGCTGCTCGGGTCGGGGGCCTCCCTGGGGATGCCGCACCGTGACGGGACAGAACACGTGGTGATGGCCTCTGGTGGTGTCCGGCTGCTCTGGTGTTGCGTTTCTGGAGCCTGTGACTCGTGTCTTTCGAAGAAGGGTTGTCAGATTCTGCCCTCTTGTGGGACATTTCCAGCTGACCGGATGCAGATCACGTGGCCCAGAATGAATGTCCAAGGGATGTAGTATGCTTGGTGATGCACGAGTCCCTTGAAAGAACTGTCCAGCACCGTGTGCCTGCGTGCCTTGCACACTCGGGTGCTCAGAGCCCAGGCCGTGGTGGGCTGCACACTGACCCTCCTGTCCCCGCAGAACATCCGGGTGCTGATGGGCGTGGAGAAGGCCAAGGGCTTCTGCCAGCTGGTGGTGTCCTCCAGCCTGCGGGACGGCATGTCCCAGCTGATCCAGTCGGCCGGCCTGGGCAGCATGAAGCACAACACCGTGCTCATGGCCTGGCCCCAGGCCTGGAGGCAGGCGGACAATCCCTTCTCATGGAAGAACTTTGTCGGTGCGTGTGCGTGTGCCGGGGCCGGCCACTGTCACGCCTGTGGCCCTCTCAGGTCCCCGGGCCTGCGGGCCTGGCCTTGGGAACCACTGAGGGCCTTGGCCACTGTCCCTGGAGGAGCCAGCACCCTTCCCGTCTCCGTACCCTCCCCACCCTCGGCCCAGCTGCACCCTAGGGTGGATCTGGGGACAGGTGGGCTGTGTAAGGGCTGCGCCCCATACCCGTCCTGGCTGCTGCCTGCTGCCGCCTCCCCGAGGTCCCTGAGGATGCTGCCCTTGGTGCCTGACCGCCACTGCCTGTCTGCAGACACCGTCCGCGACACCACGGCTGCGCACCAGGCCCTGCTGGTGGCCAAGAACATCGACGGGTTCCCCCAGAACCAGGAGCGCCTGGGTGAGGGTTCCATCGACGTGTGGTGGATCGTGCACGACGGCGGCATGCTCATGCTGCTGCCCTTCCTGCTGCGCCAGCACAAGGTGGGCCGAAGGAGTTGGCGGGGCCCGAGGGCCCCGGGCAGGAGCTCGCCAGGCCCCGCGTGACTGCTGCCTCCCCAGGTGTGGCGCAAGTGCAGGATGCGCATCTTCACGGTGGCCCAGGAGGACGACAACAGCATCCAGATGAAGAAGGACCTGCAGATGTTCCTGTACCACCTCCGAATCAGCGCCGAGGTCGAGGTGGTGGAGATGGTGCGTGCTGGGGCTCGGGGACAAGGCAGGGACAGTGCGGCAGCCCCATGCGCCAAGGAGCCTGCGGTGCGGTCCCTCGGGCGTCACTGTTCCCAGCGCTGTCGGCCCCACAGAGGCCCCTGAGCTGGGCTCTCCCTTTGCTCCGAGCAGTCTGGGCACTGGGGATGGGGTTGTTCCTCCTCCCCATGGCTCTGTGCTGCTCACTGCAGTCTGGGCAGTTGCTCCTGGTTCCCGTGGTTGCTGCCGGACACAGCCTGGCTGGACACGGCCTGCGGCGCCTGCTTCCCTCCGGGCAGTGATGTGGCAGTGCTGTCCCTGCCCAGGCTGCAGAGATGCTGCACTGGGGTCGACAGATGTGTCGTCCGTGCGTGTCTAACCACGGGGCCAGGCAGCTGTGTGCATTACCCATGGCCTCTCGGGTCTGGGGCTGCTCTCCTGCCCAGCAGAGGCTTCCTTGCCGTGCCCGGGCCTGCTGTGGGCACTGTGTCACCCAGACCTGACTCGGCCCTTGCAGGCACGGGACCTGCCCCTCGTGGCCTGGCTTGCAGTCCTGGCTGTAGACACTCTCAGGGTCTGCTGGTCCCGATGTAGTGACTGGAGCTGCCTGGGGACAAGCCCAGGAGGTGGGAGGCAGCCAGGGCAGCTGCAGACAGCAGGGAGACCTAGGGCTGGCCGAGGTCCCCACACACAGGGGCCTGTGGTGTGCCCTGTCCCGGCGACACCACCAGAGCCGAGGTGCAGACTGACAGCCACCTGCTGGGGCCTCAGTGTCACTCCGAGGGCAGTGACCGGGCTTTCTGTGGCTTTCACCTCTGTAGTGACGAGCTGCCCACACATGGCAGAGAATGCCTGTGATGTGTGCGTGTTCCTTGAGGCCACCACCCCTGTGGCACAACTGGAACACTGTCCCGAGCCCAGATGTGCTGTGTGCTAGTGTGGTGGCAGCATGGCTGTCACATCACCAGTGTTAGCATCAGAGGGTCCGGGAGGGGACAGGCAGGAGATGAGTGTCCAGCCGTGACCACCAGCCATACACTCACATGCCCAATCACTCCAGCTGCCAGCACCACTGGGGTGGGCTGCAGACTCCTTCCGGGAGGACAAAGTGGTCAAGACACGCGACCGTCCACATCCGAGGACAGTGGACGCCAGTGGGGCGGGGACAGCGCGAATGCTGTTCCCATCCCCTCTGAGCAGGTGGAGAACGACATCTCCGCGTTCACCTACGAGAAGACGCTCATGATGGAGCAGAGGTCCCAGATGCTGCGGCAGATGCAGCTGTCGAAGACCGAGCAGGAGCGAGAGGTGGGGAGCGGAGCCCAGGCCTGCCGGCAGTCCAAGCCCAGCGGGACGAGCCGGGTGGGAGCCGAGCCCTGCTTAGGTGCCCCCACCTCACTGCTCACCTGGGCCAAGCGAGGCCCTGCCCACCTGTGCGCGACTGCCGTCCCTCCCCGGGGCCCCGTGTCTGGGTCCTTTCGAGACGAGGCCTGGCTTGGGGGTGGGAGGCTCCACCCATGGACCTCACCCCTCGGGCATCAACCTGTGATCCTCCTGGTAACAGCGGCCGCTCCCCAGGGCTTGTCCTGCGCCCCTCACCAGAGCCCAGTGCACGCCCTGGCCCCACACCCTGGGGTCACTCGGCCACTCCCCCGTGGACGGAGGCCTGGAGATGGGCGCCAAGAGAGGAGACCTTCATGGCCTGAACTTCCCCCGTTGTGCAGTTGGGGTTCCTTGTCCCACGGCACCCAGGGCAGGGACAGGCAGGCCACGCAGGGCAGGGTGCAGTGGGCCGCCCAGGGATGGGCAGCTGGGGCCACGCCTGGGCTCCTGGGTCCGTGTGACGCCCTCCAGGCCCTGTGGCCGGCTGCTCATGTGAGTCGCTCTCCCTGGGGGCTTCTTGGATCCCCCAGTTGTGCTGAATCCACTCCCCACATCCCCCAGGCCCAGCTGATCCATGACCGGAATACTGCATCCCACACCTCGGTGGCCACCAGGCCCCAGGCCCCGCCGATGCCAGACAAGGTGCAGATGACCTGGACGAAGGAGAAGCTGACAGTGGAGAGGCACAGAGACAAGGGCGCAGGCGGCGCCGTGGGGTTCAAGGACCTCTTCAGCCTGAGGCCGTGAGTGTCTTTGGTGCCCTCCTGTGGCCTGGGGCTGCTGTGGGTGCCCGGTGAGGTTGGCCCCCCACACCACACAGCTGTTGTGTGCGACGGAGCCCGAGCTCCCTGGACCAAGCTCCAGCTCCTGCTGGTGACTCGGCCACCCGCGTGCCCCAGCCCCTGCCACAGCCCGGTGAGTGCCCGAGGGGCCAGCCGGGGCTTCTCAGGAGCCGAGGGGAGTGGGTGGGGCTCGTCCTGCTCCTGCAGAGCCCTTCCCCCACTGGATCCGAAACCTTCTCAGTCCAGTCTTGTGGGGGGGTTGGGGTGCTGAGGGTGCCAGGGCTTCCTGCCTGCCAGGCAGGTCCGCTACCCTGAGCCACATTGTCAGCCTCTTCAAAGTTTTGGGTATTTTTTCTTTCAATTTTTTTTTTTTTTTTGAGATCTTTTTTTTTTGGTACCAGAGATTGAACTCTCAGGTCCTTGTGCAACGAAACCACTGAGCTAAATCCCCGGCCCTTTTTAAGATCTTCTAAAGTTTGAGACAGGGTCTTGGGCTGGTCACAAACTTGGGAGCCTCCTGTCTCAGCCTTCTGAGTAGCTGGAGTTACAAACATGCTCAGCGCCTACCTCAGTTGGGTCTTCAACCCTAAGGCCGTGGGGCAGGGGAGGGTGCTTTTGAGGGCCCTGTGGGGATCCCCTGGTGAGCAGGAGGGGTCCTAGCGGGTGGGCCGTCCTGGACTGACCTGCTCTCTGTTGCCCTCGCCGCCCCGGAGGGAGTGGGGAAGCCTGTGAGTCTGAGCCCCGCCTGCTGCCCTTGCCCCTCCCTGCACGCCTGCCTGCGCGGAGCCTTGTGGAGCATGGTGCACTGCTCCCTGCACTCAGCTGACAGGACGGACGGGCCTGAGCGTGGCTGTGGCCATGCAGCTTGTGCGGTGTTTCCAGCCCTCGATGCTGCCTTGCCACCGGGAGAACCTCGGCAGGGCAGCCACGTGCAAGCTCCAGGCCAGGGGAGGGACATGCCCCTCGCCGGAGCTCTGCTTCACGTAATCCAGTTTTTCCAAATACTTCCTGAGTTAAAACACGGCACCCAGGTGACCGGGAAGCCTGTGCTCACGTCTCACCAGCCCCTGAGGACCCCAGTTCTGGTGCGGGGTTCTTAGCTCCTGGGGCTTGAGCTAGGACGGTTCTTCACCTCCTCGCTGACCTTCAGGATCACATGCAGCTCCAGAGCCACTGCTTGACCAGCCTTCTGGGGACCATGGCTTCCCAGGCAGCAGATTTGGGGTTCTCATAAGGAAAGACCCTCTCGGGGAGCCCCTGTGCTGTGACTACCGGGCTGAGCTGGCCTGAGGACAGTGGACCCTGGGCCCTGGCTTCTTCCTGGCGCTGCCTGGTCCCATCCAGGCCAACCCCCTGGCTCTGGCTGTGCACCTCATGGCCCCCGCCTGTTGGTCCCCATGTCTGGGCACAGGGGATCGTGAGGAAAGGCTGTGGCAGAAGCGGGAGCCTGACGGGCTGGCCACAGCCCTGACCTATGGCTGCAGAGTCCCTAGTGCGTGGGTTTTCCCGTGTAGGTGGAACCTGGAGCGGGCTGAGGGGTATCACTCGGCGGCCCCGGTGGCTTCCTGGGATGCCAGTCTGGACATGGTGGCAGGTCTCCCGAGGAGGGCACCGTGGCCACTCGCCGGGGGACACGTGGGGTACATGAGGCAGCCAGGCGTGTCCACGTACCCACGTTTGCCAGCAGTGGCAGTCTGCATGGCTGCGACGCTCCCGGGCTGCGCTGGGCATGACCACTGCAGCCCAGAGCAGTGCCTGAGGCGGCCGCTGCTCCACCCACCCTGTAGGCTGCATGGGGCACGGCCACAGCAGCCAGGTCAGCATCGCCACGGCCTGGGGCCGGGAGCTGGTGCCAGGGCTTTTCCTTTCGGGGTACTGTCCCCTCCCAGCCTGAAACCTACGTCTCAGGTGCTGCTGGGCAGGCAGGGCTGGGGTGTGCTAGGGACTTCATCAGGGACGAGGCCGGGCTCAGCGGCTCCCACATTCGCCTGCTCACCAGCTTCCCTGGCCTTGGGCCCTTGCTTCTGCCTGCGTAGCAGCCGCCTCATAGACTCAGTTTACCCACTGTCCCCTGGGGACCTAGCATGCCTTTGCAGCCGCGTGGAGCCTGCAGCTTCAGTGATGGCGAATTCTAGAAACCGGGCTAGAGCTGCTCACTGCTGAACAAGTTGTGAGGAGTCGGGGAACAGCCTGCCCTGTGCTGCTCCTGGCACTCGTGGGTGCCCGGATGGTGGGCACAGGTGAGGCCTCGCCCCACCCCACCATGCTTCTCCCCTCAGGGACCAGTCCAATGTCAGGAGGATGCACACGGCCGTGAAGCTCAACGGTGTCGTCCTCAGCAAGTCCCAGGATGCCCAGCTGGTCCTGCTGAACATGCCGGGGCCTCCCAAAAACCAGCAGGGTGATGAGAACTGTATCCTTCGACATGGGCCAGCCCATGGGGTCCAGGGGATTGGGCGACGCGTGGATGGGTGTCCAGTGCAAGGTTGAGACCCCAAACCTGTGTGCAAAAGCAGCCCCAGCCCTATGTGGGACCCACCCCTGGGTGGGTACAGTGGCCGGGCCTGGCCTGCAGGTCAGCCACGAGCACCAGCCCTGCCTGCCCCGTCTTCCTCCCCTTCCTTCCTCAGACCGCCTTCCTCTGAGTCATCGTGTCTCCCTTCACAGCCTTAACTCCACTCCCAGACATGGAGTTCCTGGAGGTGCTGACCGAGGGGCTGAACAGGGTGCTCCTGGTCAGGGGCGGCGGCCGCGAGGTCATAACCATCTACTCCTGAGGCCAGCACCACCTCCGGGAACTGCAGAGCTGTCCCCTGGTCCCCTCCTGCAGAGACCTGGGCAGCACGGGAGGCAGGGTGGCCTGGGAAGGGGCAGTGCTGGTGCCAGTGCCCGTGTCCAGGACTCCTGCTCCTCGGGCTGTCCAGTGCCTGGACAGTCACTGCCCACCTCCCAGCGGGGGTGCTCACCAGATGCCACTGTGCCCTGGGGCTGGGGCTCGCGGGTCCCCACCTCCTGGTCTCCCGAGCAGCTCCGCACCTGGCAGAGCACTGACGACCACCGCCCTCTTCCCCATGTCAGTACCCATGCTGTCCACGCTGCAGGGCAGGGCAGGGCACAGGCCACCTGGGGCCGCCTGCCTGAAGGGGAGCGGGCGGGAGGACGCAGGCCTCGGCCTCTGCCAGGGGCTCAGCCCCACCTCTTCTCTCCCTGAGCACTGATGGTGCCTGAGGGCACCAGGCTGTGGGACCGTGCAGGGCGGGAACGCCAAGGTTTCTCCATGCTGCCCAAGGCGGCAGCCCTCCTGCCCTGCTCGAAAGGCCCTGTCTCACCTCTTACCCTCTGGAAAGGACACTCAGCCGCGGCCAGGGTTGTCTGGGCGGGATGTACCTGGCCGTGTCCCTGTGTCTCGTGTGGGACAGGCTCTCAGTACCTCTCAAGGGCCAGACAGTTTGCACTTTAGCTTTGAGCTTTCTGCTTTGTAGGTTAGTCATGGTCCTAGCAGCGATTTGTGCCTTGCTCTCTGTAGGCCATATTTATTTATTTAACACCTGGGGGCAGTGTCCTGATAATCACGTCTACGTGGGAAGGCCAGGGGCCAGGTACGTGGCCTTCGCTGGCACAGGGCAGTGGGTGAGCTTGGACCAGAGCAGTTTCTGAGCTGTCAGGTGCCTGGCAGGTCAGCTCCCAGGGGGCGGCTGCTGCCCAGTGTGTGTCCCGGCCAGCACAGGGCCCAGGCTCCTCGACCTCTGCTTGCTTGGCTCTGAGACCCCAGTGGCTGCACCCCAGCAAGGAGCAGGTGGGGAGCAGAGAAGCAGGTGGTTCGTGGCCCAGTTCCCGAGCTGTGCCTGTGTGGGACACATGGTCCCCTTCACCTACGAGCCTTGGCTGCATCCATTCAGACTCCCATGTTCTCCTTTTATAGCCTGTCTTTGTACGATGCTGTCAGTAGAATAAAGTCCTGTGAACTCCTAGTGGCTGAAGAATCTCTCACACTTGCCCTTCCCCTTGGAGATGACCGCAGGGCTGCTGGGGCACACCAAGCTCGGGCATGGGCACTGGCACATGCGTGTGCAGCAGTGGCAGCAACAAGCAGTGCAGAGCGGCACCCTCAGTTCTGCTGAGTGGTAAGTGGCCCGCCCTGCATGGCCTCCTGTCTTCGTTAAGGAGCTGGGAGGCCCAGGGCCTCCAAGGGTTCTGCGCCCAAGCCTCACCCCGGCATCGCCCTGTGCTGTGTCAAGGGGCAGGAGCACCCAGGACACCAACTGCGGCAACTCACTCCGCCCTTGCTGTGGCCATCACGCAGGAGGCGGGGCGGGAGCGGTGTAGCGCATACGGACACCCAAGGAGGCTCCCGGAGCTGGCCCGGCACCAGCCCTCACCAGACATTGTTCACGCCATGGCCAGTGTCCAGTCCTGGAAGGCAGGCTGTCACAGGGCTCATGGGTGGGACTGAGGGGTGGGACAGGCCCAAAAGGGCAAGGCCCCGCAGGCGGCAGTCACCGGGGCTGGAGGGAGGGGTAGGTGCTGGGATGGCAGTGGTGCCCACCTGCCCTTGCTGGCTGTGCTGCTCAGGTGGCACAGGCACCGCAGAGCTGGGGCTTGGCTGTTTGGCACCACAGGGCCTGTCAGGGGAGCTTGCCTGAAACGGGTGGCAGAGGTGGAAGAGGTGACCAGCTCTGGCCAGCAGGAGGCCCAGGCAGCTCAGCACCTGGTGCCAGGCAGGAGGACACCCTCGAGGAAGGGACACCATGGGGAACAGCCGACTGGGGAGCATACTTCAGGGTTGTCCCGGGAGGCCACCCAGCAGACAGCCCACGCACACAACACCCTCGAGCCTTCGCTTCTGTCACAAAGGATGCTTGGTCCGTGGGTGTCACTGCTGCTGTCCTGCCTGGGGAGGCCCCAGTGCCTGGCAGGGCCACTTGCCTGACCCAAGGGCCTGGGACTCCCAGGCCAGGCCAGCACCCGCGCAGGCTGTCTGGTCCACAGGTGGGGACACGGCGGGTCCACCGTTAAGTGATCTATCCGAGGCCACCCTCAAGGTGAGGCTGTTGCACCTCAAGGGTCCCCAGGCTGGTGGTGCCCACTGTGCTCTGGCCTGGACAGTCCTCACTGCTACTCAGCTTGTCCTAAACCAGGGTGTGCACCCAGAGGAGACAGAGCTCAGCCTGAGCCCCACCAGTTGCTCCGCTGGGCCCTGGCCCGGGAGGCTGGGGGACCTGCCCTGTGATGTCACTGGAGGAGGGCTGGGTGGGGTTGCCCCTGAAGGCTGAGCCCGATGTGCTGTATGGTGGGCTCCCACACCAGGACTCATCCTGAGGGATGCCTCCCAGGTGTGTCCCGGGGCCCACCACGTGTGGGGTGCAGTCAGGTCCAGCAGGAAGGCCAGCTCGAGGGGCGCAGGCCCTGGGACTCCAGCTCTCCCAAGCAGTGGGACAGCTCATAGGAGAGGCCAGGGGTGCAGGAGCCCTGAATGTCGTGCAGCAGACACTCGGGCGAAGCCGCTCGTGTCTCGTGATAGGCTGGCTGGCTCTCTGCTCCTCCCCAGCTGCTGCTCAGGACCCGCCCCTCACAGCCCAGGATGGCACCCGGTGGCTGCAGTCAAAGCTGCCGTTGGGCTTACACATCAGGTGCTGGGTTTATTAGGGCAGCACAGTGAAAAAGCCCTCACCCGTGCCATGGCATTGTCTGGCTGGGTCACACCAACCAACGGCAGGCATGCTCTTCACAGCTCACACCCTCGAGCCATGTGACCTGCGGCCACAAGATGGGGTGTGCGCACAGGGCTCGGGAACACCTGTTTGGGCAGAGCGAGACAGGCTACCAGTGCAGCCTGTTTATTATGCCTGCGGAACACTTCAGTGCCCACCTGGCCATCAGTCTGCTTAATGTTCAGACTGCAAAAGGCAAACAGTCCTGGGCCTGCTGCGTCCCACCTCTGGAACCCACTGGGCCATGCCCTGCTGGGTCCTGGTGCCAAGGCCTCCTGTGCTGCTGGCTCTCATGGAAGGGGACACGGGGGAACGTCCCGCGGGCACACGAGCCTGAGTCTGGCCCCCTTGCCTGGATGACCCAGGCACGAGCATCACCCTTGCCAGTGTCTGTCAGCTGACCATGCCCTGCCCTGCCCTGCCCTGCCCTGCCCTGGCCCTGAGGTGCAGAAATGGGACCTGCGGCTACCCACCCACCAGCCGGTTCCACGGCTGCCCTTCTGATGCTGCGTTTGTGCTCGGAGCCACGCACAGGGGGACCTAGGACACAGCACACGTGGAGCTGGCCCAGCCCAACTTCATAAGGGATACACGTCTTCTCCCAGCTGGGCGAGGAGCCCAAAGCCCTCGAGCGGACGTGACAGCAGATTCCCCGCCACAGCCTGGGCGCTGTGGATCAAACGGAGCAGAGCGGGGCTCCGCCTCCCGCTGGGCACTGTCGCAGCACTGAGTGCTCCTGCCCTAGCAGCCCCGAGGAGGACGCGGAGGAGCAAGGCCTCCCTCCTGGGGTCTGTCCTGGCAGCACCCTGCTCTGCCCCGAGGCTGAGCAGGGGGTCGGCTCGGGGGTGCCAAGCTCCCGAGGGCACAGAGGCTCCTGCTTCACGCCCCAGGGTGCGGCCTGGCCTGTGGCGCCCGCTGTCAGGGGAGCTGGGCGCTAGGACGGGGGCTCGTGGTGGTGCTCGTGCCACTGGACCACAGGTACTGCGCAGCCCTCAGCACCCAGCACAGGAAGCAGGTCCCGCACCACCTGGTGCTCTGCCACAGCAGGCTGGCTGTGCGTGGCCTTCAGTGACGAGCGACCCTCCCTGCCCTTCTGCCGAGGCCGCCTGTGGCTGTGGGGCTGAGGCAGGTGGCAGCCGGGGCTCTGCCAGGCTTCCCACTGCCCACTGCCCCAGGCGGCTGCCCAGGGCCTTTGGGGGACCTGAGGAACGCCTTCTCTGGCCCCTTCAGCCGGGGCTGTGAGTCCAGGCCTCGGGCAGCAGGCTCAGTGGCCAGCGCAGTGTGGTCACCCAATACCTGGGAGCGGCGGTGGTGCGCAGCATGGGAGTCGGGCTTCTGGGAGTGGGAAGGCTGTGGGGGCGTGCAGCCCTGCTGGGGTGCTCCTGCCGGGCCTGCTTGGGGGTGACCCTGCAGTGGGACAGGTGTGGGCCTGAGTAAGGCCGGGTGGCGCGGGGGCTCTGTGTCCCCTCACAGGAGCCGTGTGTGGTAGGGCCAGGGACAGGTCACACCCACGGCTCCCCTCCAGGGCCGCCTGGTGGCCAGGTTGGCTCCTAGATGGCCATGTGCCCTGAAGCAGGCAGGGAAAGGGACAGGGACAGAGACAGGGAGCTCGCCCTGCACCTGGCCGGCTCTGCCACGCCAGCCTGGGTCCCGTGGGCGAAACTTTGGCTGAGCCTGTCGGGCACTCAAGGGACAGAGCCGAGTCCCCTCAGCAAAAGGCCCAGGGAAGGGGCCGGGACCCTCCCCACACCCTGGACTGTGGAAGTGCTCGGTGACAAAGACCCAGCCAGGTCAGCATCAGCCATGTGGGCCTGGCTGGGGCCCTGTGAGGGTCCAGAGCAGACTTGAGGCAGCGTCTGCATTGTCACCAGGGGGCACCCCGCCCTCTTGGCCTGTGCACTCCGATCCAGCCCAGGGTGCGGTCAACTGCAGCCCAGCACTCCCACGGCCGCCAGGGGCTGCGGCCAGCAGGGAACATGGTGGGCAGGCCTGCTGGTGCCCAGCCCTCCTCAGTGACCCTGCCCTTCTGTCCTGAAACGTCACCCCCCACAGGGTCCCCCGGATCTGAACCCTGATCGTTCACCTGGCTGGACCGGGACACCTCACACATACTCTGCATGACCTCTGGCTCCGCAGGTGCAGCTGTGGTGGTGGGAGGGTGATCCTGGGCAGGGTTGCTCCAGACTCTGCACCCCTGGGGACAGAGCTGGGGTGGGGTGTCCTCTGGGACCTACCAGGACCAAACCTGGAGGTGTAGTTTTCGCTTTCAGCGAGGTCCAGGTAGTGGTTCCTGCGCTCTGTGTTCTCATCCACGCAGTAGGGACCCCGTTCAGGGCAGGGGCCAGGGTCACCACTGGGCCTCCTGTGTGCAGCAGACAAGGGCCTGATGACCTGCCTGTGGCCACAGCCTCGCTGCTCTGATGGCACTGCAGAGGCCTCAGGTGCTCTGCCCAGCATCCACCCCGGCCAGCAGGAGGAAGGAAGTCTCCACTCACCCGAGGCCCACAACCAGCCATGGAGCACCATCCAGCACCCTGGCCACCTGCCATGGTGCCTGGGATCCCAGCCAGTCCCCTCTCTGGGGCCACAGGGCCACTGCTCTGTCACCTATGCCAGAGGGTGGATGGATCCCAGGGATCCAGAGCACCGGCTGAGGGTGCTGGTCCTAGCACTGCTGCCAGTCAGAACCTGCCCATCTCTCGGCAGACCTGGCTGGGGCCCCTCTGCCCCATGGCACACAGCTCAGCCCCTCATACCCACATTGGTCCCGGGGGTCAGCCTGAAAGGGTCCAGGGGCCTGCAGGACACAGCCCGCCCGGTGCCTGGCTCCCCTGATGTGGGCAGACAGCCTCTTGTCGGCCCCCTTGGGATCCTCAGCCAGCTCACTCTGTCCTGCTTCGAGTGGGCTCCCGGTCTGAAAGAAGGGGGCACACACTCACTTGTTCACTCTTCACTCATTCATTCCTTCAGCCCCTCACTTGCTTGTTGCCTTCAGAAACTTGGGCATCCTTACCCTCAGCCACGCATTTCCCATCCATGGTTACGCACTCGGTCAGCCAGGCTTCTCTCAGTCATTCACCATGTATTCCATTACCCATGCATCCAACATCCAACACCATCCATCCATCCACCCACCTATCCAAACATCCACCCATCCATCCATCCATCCATTCACACATACAGTCTTCACGCGCTCATTTATTATGCAATCCTTTACTTATCCACCCATCCGCTCACTAAGCAGATTGTGTTGAGCTCTGCCACGCCAGTCCTGCTTAATACGCTGTGTAACCAGAGAGAGGTTTTTACACAGGAAGGGCTGGACACTGTTAAGCATGACATGGCATGGCGAGACGCTGAGAGCTATAGGACTGTGTGGGAGAGGGTGGGCTGCACCAGGTGGCTTGGAAAGTGCTCACAAGGACAGAACCATCTGAGCAGGGGCAGCTCCTTGCCAAGAGCCCTCACCCAGGCTGGCAGGAGGACACTCCTTCCTTGTGCCAACAGGCTCAGGGCTGACGGTCAGCTTTACACAGAGGGTCTTGCTGCTGCCTGAAGAGTGGTTCATGGAGGCATCAACAACCTCATAGATGGTGTGTATCAGGCTGGACATGTCCTGGGGTGACACAGCAGACCTCAGAGGAGACACTGCCCACCCCTGGCCACCTGGCACCTCAGGCTCCATTCGCCCCACATCCCAGGCTGGCACACGCAGGCATGCCAGGAGGGCCTTGTGTTGGCCGAGCTCAGCCTGAGGCCTCCTGCCTTGCTGTCCTTGGGTCATGTCTCCCTGACCCTTTACATCCCTGCCCCAATGTCCAAAGGGCTCGGCAGCTAGCCAACGACCGGACAGATTCCCTTTCAGCAGACGAGCTTGTTCAGCACATTAGTGTCTGATGTCCTACTGCCTGCTTCCTTCAGGGGCCCTAGCTGTCCTGGACACAGGGCTGGCTGAGCAGGGGACCCTCGGGGCCCCAGCTTCCTGAAGGGGTGCTGCGTCATAGGCACGTGGATGCCAGCCGCCAAGGACACGCAGGCTGCCCCCTCTCCCGTGCCCGCCTGTGTCCATCGTGGGAATGGGGTGTCATCATTTGCCCACCTGCCCTCAAGGCCAGACTGGTTCTTCCGGGCCCGAGGCCACCCAGCCCACTCTCCACAGATGCTCTGTGCGTTACCTCCCTGGTGACCTTCCCGCTGGTGTCGAAGTCGTACAGTGTGAACGTCCGCTCCTGGTGGCTGTCCTCCACCGAGACGTTGCACTGGAGGGCCTGCAGGTACAGCAGGGGTGGGGCCCGGGAGTCTCCCTATGGCCTGGGCTCTGCACGCACCACGGCTCGAGGACCCCTCACCCAGGACACCTTCCTGGGGTGTCTCCTTCGGATGGGGCTGGGGTCTGCAGCTTCGTCTGCAGCCTGGAAGAGGCGCCCCAGGGTGGTGGCCTGGCCCCTCCAGACCCGCCCTCGCCCAACTCGTCCTCCCCAACACGCCGCCGCCTGTGGCCTGCCAGTGCTTGTGTCACCCAGAATGAGACGAGGCCACACGCCCGGCGGGCTCGCCAGTTCCAGTGACCTCAGCTGACACCCAGGGACAGACAGGCGGGCTGGGGGCCGAGACCTCCGTCAATGTTCAGGAGCCTCCTGCCCCTCCTCGGGGGCCCTCCCGGGCTGCTGCACACTCGCCATCGTCCACACCAAGGGGCCGCCCGCCCTGGGCTCAAATGGCCCTCGGCCTTCTCCCGGGGCAAGAGGGACTGAGGACCAGGCCGGCAGGGCAGTGAGCTGGGGAGGCGGGTGCAGGGCAGCGGTTGCTGCCTCCCATGCCACGCCGCCGAGCCTCCAGATGGCCTGAGCAGAGACCCCGTGCCGTGGGGCAGGCAGGAAGGCAGGGCATCTCTAGGTCAGCCACGGCCGGGGCAGCCCCAGCCCCCCCAGTTCCATGGCCCTGTGCAGCTCACAGTGGCTTCCAGGGAGCAAACCAGCCCCTCGGGGTGAGGGTGCTTGGCCATGTCCCGCAGGCTGGGGTCCCAGTGGCATCAGCCCTCCCGCCCGCACTGTCCTGCTTCCCAGCAGGCCTCCACCCTGAACGCTCTCCACATTGCTGCGAGCCAAGCTGCTGGATGTGCAGCCTGCTGTTCCTGGGCTCCAGTGCGAGCCCTGTCCCCACCCGGCCTGCACCGAAGGCCACACGCACGGCAGCAACCAGGGGGCCTGACGGTCACCACACCCGCCACACAACCTCAGCCCAGTGCCAGTCTATTCAGCCAGCCTCCCCACCCAGACACGGGTCCCCGGGGCGGTGGCCTTGAAATAGGGCAGCACTGGGGACACGGGCCTGCCCTCCGCGTCTCTGACGGCGTCTGGTAGGGAGCCCGGCATGCGTGTGCTGCGGGAGGACATCCTCTCAGAGGACAGTGACATCTGAGAGGCTGGGGAGCAGTGGCCGTGCGGGCCAAACTTACCGTCAGGGGGACTCTGGTCCTCCTGGAAAGGACCCTCTTTGAGGTCCTCACTGGGCAGCTCCTGCAGGGGAACAGGGCAGCGAGTGACCACAGGTCAGCTGGGCAGACAGGGAGTCACGCGAGACTCTGCAGGCGCCAGCCCCACACAGCAGCAGCTTGCAGACACCTCACCGTGTCGGGCTCCTTCTAAGACCTGCTGTGGCAACCTGCACAGTGCCCTGCCTCCTTCTCCCCCCACCCCGCAGAGCCCCCCCCAACATGTCCCCGAGGTGCCCAGGACCCAGGGCAGTATCCCATGGAGCTGCTGAGGGGACAGCACCTCTTCTAAGGCTGGGCTGGGGTGCGGAGCTGCCAGCCACCAGGGGCAGATCTCAAGACCAGTTATGGAAAGATGGGAAAGACTTCAAACACACTCGCGATGCTCTAGCCAAGAAAATCTGCAGAACACAAGCTCACATGGTTCCCATCAAGATCGACAGAAGCACAGGACACGGAGGGAGGAACAGGAAGTGTTCAGGGAGCTTGGAGCAGGAGCCCAGACCCATGCTTAAGGTGACACTGGGCCACCGAGGTCTGGAGTAGACAAAGCCTGGGAGTCCTAGGAGATGCCTGCCACTTAAGAGACCCCATGAGCATGAGTCTGAGGGGCACGATGACCCTGATGGCTGTGCCATGGCACTGTCAGAAAGGGGGGCAGGAAACACCCGGCACTTCAGGGCCCTGGGGATCGCCCCTGCCTTCCTCTCTCCAGATCACCAGTCAGGCAGCCAGGAAGGCAGACGCAGTCTGTTGAGAATGGCACTCGGTACCGATCTGCAGGAGGCAGTTTCCTGGGTGAGGGAACACCCTGCTCTCGAGTGAGTGCTGGCACCTGTCCTGAAGGTCCACTCCAACCCCATGGGGCCCTTCTGCATCTACACCACACGGTGCACTGTTCTCCTCACGGGAGAGGATGGGCTGTAACCCAGGTGGACGTCAAGATGAAGTCCAGTAACTGCTAATATCCTGACTTTTAGTTAAAAGTTTTCTGCAAAAATCAAAACATTCTATGAAGTGCCTCCAGAGCTGTACACAGTGTCAGCGTTGCTGCTCTCAAGCTGACTGTCTTGAGATGGGAAGTTGACTCTGTCACCCAGGGCTGCAGCCCCGAGTTACCACCAACTGCTGGCCGGAAAGGCAAGGGACCCCTGCAGCAGCAGTCCCCTCCGCACCCACAGCCACCCTGGGGCTGTCTCCAGGACGGGCTGATGCCAGGTTCGTGTGGTTCCTTCCCTCACCGCACCTCGGGGCTCAGCCCAAGTCGGACCCTGCGTGACTCAAGACGACTCCCCCGCAGAGGTGGGCGTGGCGGTGACATCCCCTCAGTTGGAGCCAGATGGCCTCCAGCAGTACTCACGGAAAGCACTCTGGATCATCTCGAGATCCCCGCCACAGACAACGGCAGCTCCCAGGAGGGTGCGGGAAGTGGAGGTGCAGGAGCTCAGGGGTGCAGTGGGTGAGCCAGGCTGGCATTTCCTGTCCTGACCTCAGCTGCCGGGCCCTTCCCACCCTGAGACACCCAAAGCTACTTTTAAAAGTCACCTGAGCACTGTTTTTGGCATCTTGCATTGGTTGCAGAGCACAGGGCAGACGTGGGGCACAGACATGCAGGGCAGAAAGAGGTCGAGTGACTCTGAGCAGAGCACGGGTGAGGCCCTGGCCACAGCACCCGGCACCACGGAACAGAGGAACCTGCAGAGACCTGGGTTGCCTCCTGGACATGCTCCCAACACTAGATGACTGGCCCATGCTGCAGTAACAGACCAGGGCTACCCACCCAACCGCTGCTATTGCCCACTACATTAACCCCCCCGGGGCCACTATAACCAACCAGCGCTCCTATAACTGACCATAGCTACTATAACCAACCAGCGCTGCTATAACCAACCATGGCTACAATAACCAACCATGGCTACTGTAACCAACCAGGGCCACCATAACCAACCAGTGCTGCTATAACCAACCAGGGCCACTATAACCATGGCCACAATAACCAACCAATGCTGCTATAACCAACCAGGGCCACAATAA